AACCAATTTGATAAATTTTTAGTTTTACGAATCTTAAAGGAATAATATATACCCATCCATCCCAATAAGATGTTCTTTAAGCGAACTTCTTTTGTCCCAATATAATTACAGTTTTGGAAAATCAATGCATATTTTATGCTACTACCTCAAAATTGCTTATATTAATTCTTCTTATATTACAGCTTGATCTTTCTAGTGAAACATAAAAAAGCTTGACTTTTTTAGTGAAAGGGTCTTTTCTAACATTTACCACAAAAAATCACAAAGCCAGTGCATCTCATATTCGAAAATAGAAATAAACACTTTGAGCAGGGAAGGATCAAAACAAGTTACCGCAGTGAGGAGGAGGTGCAGTTTTAGCATACTCCCAGTACCGGTAATTCAGAGCCTTGGGAGGTGGACCACGTGGACCGGTCTGGTTCAGCTGTGATGTTGGTCTAAACTGCTGACCATTAAAGTGTTGATTGGAGTTCAAATTCGGAGGTGGGTGATGGTCAGAATAGTAAGGATGGCTCTGTGGATTCTTGACAGATTGCTGCCGGAAAGTCGAATTTTTTCGACGCCCTCGAGAAGTGTCTTCTACTGTCCTGATATTGGAGTCCAGGGATCTTTGCTGGGCGGAGCAGAAAGCTTTGGAATCGGAACCCAATTGAGAAAGAGAGTACATGTATGAAACGGATGCGGCGGCGGCGGGGCGGTAGAAGGGAGGAGATGGCTTCATATGAGCTCGACCCAAAGCCCTTCTCTTGAACTCGTTCTTGAAGGGTGTCATATCATTGACTAAAAAACATCATACTTCCCGGGCCCTGCGGTCCTACCTAACTTAACCGACTTTTCTTGTTTAGGATGTTTTTCTCTAGGACTCGAATTTTATGATTTGATTTGATTTGTTTTATTAAAGTTCTAATCTTTGTGATTTGTTATAAATATTTGTTCTATATATGTTTTAGGATAGTTGCAGTCTGATACGGAGTATAATTTAATCTATTTAAATCTGATTGGATATAAATAAGACAATTAAAAACACTTACTACCCCAAAAAAATTACACCAACGGTATCAACGATGCCATCAGAAAATCTTTTTTGAGATTGATGTAAAATATGTTGCTGCTTATGCTCGTGCACGAAGTTGTCTTGTTGAATCTTGAATTAAACAAACACAATTAATGGCTAGGTTATTGTGCTATTAATGAAGTGTCAATTAGTTTCATCTGTTCGGGGATATATGTTGATATTGTATGCAGCAAATTTAGTCCCGCTTAACCCAATTGTGAATCATAAATATTCTCCAACGCAATTAGTAACAGGGTAAGAGCCAAAATTTAGCACATGAAATTATATTTCGTTGTGTTGTATATGTTCCAAGATTTTGTGTATGTGTTGGTTTGAGTCTCACTCAATTACAGAATATCTCGAGTCAAGTATTGATCATTTATTTACCACGGAATTTGTGAATTGTCGTTTCAATGAGAGTATGAGACAATATACTCAACCCTAGTAGGAGAAAATAATAGTAGTATAATTTTTAAAAAAAATAAGTACTAAATTATTTTTTTATTTTTACCTTAAAATATAATGTTATAAGAAAGATAATAAAAAGTTATGGATTTTGATATATTTTTTTAAAAAATGTTATAGCACATTAAAAATTTGAAGTTTTCTAAAATGTTAAATTATTTTTTAATATTTATATATCAATATTGGTGTCATATGAGAGATAGTAAAAAGTTATGAATTTTGATATGTTTTTATAAGAATAGGAGAACAAATAAAAAAGGTATAATAGATTTTAATAATGGTTTTTTTTTTATTTTGTCCGGTCCTACGATTGCCTCCTCTCCTTTTTGTGTTTCTCTTGTTTGTATAGCATGCTTCCTATCTTCACATAAGTCGTCAATTGGATTGGCAATTTTGGTAGCCACAGATTGCTCATTAGATTTTGGGGAATATTTTTAACTCCAACACAAATAGTATGGGAAAAACTCGTATAAAAGAAAGTACATCGAATGCAACATGATTGTCTCTCATCTAGATTCAATCATATACAAAATGGTGTAAATCGGTTGCATGATACATTCATTCATGAAGACATTGACAGTGTCACATAATTCTGCTATGAGTACTCTTGCTAGTATCCAAATCCCTATATAAACTCTTGATTCTTCTATACACAAGAAGGTGCGGACCGTGTGGTAGACCACTTGATTCAAAATATATAAACCCAAAAAGATTAAAAAATATGAAATGGTTTATGATGCTAAAGATGTTCAAAATTTTGAACAAGAAAATGAATAAACTGAAAATAATGACATTTAAAAGGATATCAACCAAATAAAGATCTCAAAAGAATGTTCAGCTTTCTCAAATGAAGAAGATATTCTAGATAACAATATAAATGGTGGTGTTTATGAAATCTCAATAAGCTGCATTTCTACTGAAATGTATGTAATACAATTGATAAGATGTTAATATACTAATGAGATACGTGTCTCTATCATGATCGCAAATATCATGAATAAAAACAATGACATTGAGGCAACATCGGTTGATGAGCGTAGGCAAAGACACAACTAGCCAAAATGAAATGTAGCAATTGAGACTTAATTAAAATTGTTTGAAAATGCAATACTTTTGGGACTGATAGTCCCTATGCCAAGGGTTTTAAACCAATGGATTTGTATGGGTCTTTGTGCGCAAGCCCAATGAGAAAATGAAATCATAAAATATAATGTCCAACTTGTTGCCAAAGTTTTTTAATTGTGAAAAAATATTATGATGAGACTTATTTTTTAGTATTTTATATAACTACGTTGAGATTTCTAGTTGACATGTTTTTCAAATTTTACAAATGTGTCTAATGAAGGTAGTGATGTCTTATTTATATGGATCTCTCCATAAAACATTCATATCAAAATTCATAGGGAACTTATAATGTTAGATGCTTATAGCTCGAAATTTCCATATTTGTTTTCCATTAAATTACAAAAGTTGTTATATGGAATTAAAGAATCTCGATGAATGTCGTATAAATCGTCTCAAAGAATATCCACTTAAAGAAAAATACAAAAATAATCAGATATATCCATGTGCTTTCATTCAGCGGTCACAATAAGGATTTGTCATAATAGTAGTATATGATGATGATTTAAACATCATTGAAACTCCCAATGAAATTAAAAATACTGCAAATTGTCCAATGAAAAATTTTGAAATAAAAAATCTAAGGAGAAAAAATCGTGTCTCATACTTCAAATTAATTAATAATTAAAAAAGAAATTTTCCCTCCATCAATCAAATTACACAAACAAAGTTTTGAACCCGCACGGGTAGCTCAGCTGGTCGAGTGGTGGGAAAATTGGAACTATGACCAAGGTTTGAATCCCCGCAGCGACCGGGTGGAGGTCACAGAACCTGAAATAAGGCTGGGCCTCTGGTGCGCACGGGGTAAAGGCCTACTGCCACTCTGCTGACTGAGTCACCGTGACTTACATCCTCCCATGTGCTCTGTCGGGTCGGGGCGTGGGGGGCACTTGGGGTTGGCGATTCAACCTCTTGGAACCACAAACAAAGTTTTGAAAAGACTCTATATGAATAAAGCGCATCCCCTAGTTAACTTTCCTCGTTTATTAAGTCAATAATATTATATCAAGTATTGTTTTTTTGTAAACGTATTGGGCAGATACACTTTCTTATCTAACATCTCATTATTGGAACGAAATCAAATACGGGGTATATAATTCGCTCTCTGTGGTAAAATTGATCTCGGCATACTCTATCACAAAGACTTAAAAGCCACATTAGTAGGATATGCATATTTTGGGTACATGTTTACCTATGACACACTGAAATTTCATGAAGATTACTGAAACAATCATTGAATAATACATCATCAAATCATGTTGAGCTGATTGTGTTATATGATATTTAAAGAGAACATGGGTGGTTGTGATCTATGATTCGACACATCCAAAATGCAGTTATTTGTCATCCCACTTTTGTCTATGAAAATAATATTGCATGTATATACCGATCTAGCGAAAGAAGGAAAGATAAATGTTTTGCAAATCAAATAATCTAATGAAATTCCCAATGTACTTTTCACAAAATCATTGTCACCCAATAAGTTTGTATATGTTGTACAGAAACATGGCATGTGTCACCTTCGAGATGTATGCTAAGATTGGGGTATTGTATATGTAAATACAATGGGATTAAAAGTTGTCATTTTCGCCCTCTATTGTGTTTTTCTCACCGGATTTCTCATAGTAAGGATTTTAATGATGCATCAAATAGTAATGGAAAATTTTAGCTATGAACATTCAAGGGGGCTGTAAAATTAATAGCTTGACAAGTGTGAGTTGATTTTTCTGGTAATCTTTGACATTTATTGAGTTCTCTTTAGTTTTACCTTTGACATTAAATATGGTAGATTCATGATTCATTCCTCGGATGATTCATCATTCATTAGCAAGATCGGCAACTATAAATAAATGTTTGATAAAGTTCTATCGTCACAAAATTCCAATTCAATTCAAGGAGTAGGAGAATCTATTTAGAGAGTTTTATATATCATATTTATTATATACAATATTATAATACATATAATAATCACGACTGCATATTTCTCTGATATGAGTTTTATAAAATATTTCTCTGATATGAATTTTCACTTCCAAAAGACTCTTTGGTATAATCCTACCGTACTTGTCCGGTACTATATGGTATTGCACTCTTAATATAACTTGAGGTAGTGAAATAAGTTAATTTTTTTTTTAATCAAATCAGAAAATATGATTTTGTTTAGGGACCTCCGATGAAGAAATGTATGATAAAGATTTAAATACTATTATGTAGAATGTTTTCACTTTGCACCAATTTTTTATCTGATCTAATGTAACATTGTAACCTAAACTAGTATAGTACTATGATCTAGTATTTTTTTGTGTACTTAATTGTTGCGTGAGTCTAATATGATATATGGTTGTTTAAGTATTGTAAATTCAATCCAACTAAAAACATCCTTATTTCCCAACACTGGTATAGTGGTATACAAATTGACATATTTTCATAAAATAAGTTACAATATTATATCAATAGTTCAGTAATAATATTTTAGACTCCTCGTGTATGCATATTGCATACATAAAACATGCCAGGAGATATTTGCATTTTAGGGGCAGGTATTCTCAACCAGTGACTGTTATCTTGAATGGATAAAAAATGTGTTTCTTCTACATTGCTAACTCTTCATACAACAGATTTCTTACACAGAGTGCAAGAAAGAAATAAAAATTGCATTCCAATGAAAACAATAGCAAGCAAAAAATCTGGAAAATCCATAACTGGAAATTTGAAGCTATTTCTTTTCCTGGATTTGGGTGATGACTTTGGTAACAACGTAGCAGTCTGGGGGTGTAATGTTTGTGTAATAATTTTGGATGGTCTCCGTAATCTCAAACCCAAATTTCTTGTAAAACTTGATGGCATCATCGTTGTTTGTCTGGACGTGCAAGTAAATCTCACTGATGCATTGCTTTGCACAGAGATCAAGTACATGGTTCAACAGCTTTGAACCTACCAGGTAATTGATTAGATGATTAGTCCCAATACAACAAGAACATCCAAGTCTCCCAAAAGAGTTTGAGGTCAGGTAACAAGAATCGACATATGAATACGGAGCAGATTAGTCATGGTCTCATGGATGAATAAAAAACACTTGAACTTACCAAGTAACCAAGAATAGTTAAGTCAATTGGTTCACTTTTCTTTTGTCAATTTGTAATAAGAAATTTTCCTCAGGCTAAAAAAACCTAATTTAGTCCCTCCACCATCTCTTATATACAGTACACGATTTGTTCTTGAACTTTCTTTTGGACTCACTTTGGTCCAACTTAGGCTCAATTTAGTCCAAAAACATATTCTATGCATAAATAAGAAGGGCATTTTTGTATCTTTACGACTACATTGGGTCCAAATTACATAGTTGAGGACTAGACTAAGTCCTACATCAGGTCAAGCTTTAGTCAACAGACAAAAATACAATTCACACTCAGGGCCAAATAAGCTCAAGGATTACATTGTGTGTGAACTATGAGTCATCCGGAAACAGTCTCCCTGTGCTTTAGTACAGGGGTAAGACTGCTTACATCCGACCCCCCCCCTACCCCACCGTAGGTGGGAGCCTTTGCGGAACTGGGGTAATGGTGATGATGATTACATTGTGTGTGAATTTATCGAGTCCTAATCGAGTTAAAATTTAGTGAACTCACAAAAACACCAGACTGACTTATAACCAAATATGTACAAGGATTACATTGGATCTGAAATTCACAGTTGAGGACCCATATTGAATGCAAACAAATATAAGCTCCAAAATCCAAACATTAAGAAAGAACTTCTCCAGACCAGAGGTAAGTAAAAAAATTAAAACTATATTAATGTGATGTCATGTACTCCAGTTAAGACTACACCAAAGAAGATTACTTGTTCTTATTTGAATTAGACAAGGCCAAATAAGGCCAATAAAATCAGGATCACACGAGAAAGTTTTGGATTAGACTAGAAAGAACCATATACCATGTGGTTAAAATTCAGACAAGATAAGTAGACAAAAAACTAAACCATACCCGATCATAATACAAATATTAACACAAATTGCCAGATCAGAACATTCAAAACAGCACCAGACCAGATCTTTTAAAGTTCAGATTAGACATGTCCGACCTCACGATGCTTCTTTTCATCAAATTGATAAGCAAAAAAAAAAAGCAAATTGAGAACTGAGATAGACGCAGTAACAAATTGACCAACTCAACAGTCAAAATAATAATCTCAACATATGGTTTATCAATAGGAGAGTTTAAAAAAAACAAAGAACAGTCTCACACAAAAATAAGCTCTAGTTTTAATTTAGGCAAAGCAGTAAAGAGATATGAGTGGATGATGATATATGCATTGCTTACCAACACCTAATCCACGATAAGGAGCCAAAACGCCCAAGGTCATGATGTACACACGAACAGCACCCCCTTCCTTTTTCTCAATCCTACATGCAATTGCACCAACACAAATGTCACTGTAGTATGCTGGATAAGACAAAAACAATAGAAAAAGAAAATATATTCAGCATTGAAATAACTATTTTACTACGCGGCAAAATCTTAATTATCTAAAATATCCAAGATTTACAATTCAGTTTTGTACAGTTATGCTTTATTAAAAATGTAGTACCATATATCATCTGTCATTTCTATTAATTCATTCTTCAACCAGTGAAAAGAAACCCAAAGTCCTAATATCTCAAGAATTATATGCTTGTCCAATCCCAATAAATTATTATTTAGCAAATTGATGAATTTGTCATATTGTTATGTCATTTCACCACCAGCAGCTAAATCCCAACTAAGATGGAGCAGAGATCTAGCATGCTGGAATGACATTTACGACATTTATGGAGTCAATTAATTGTTAAAAACTAAAAACTATTAAATGCTACAATGCATGCAAAAATACAACAATTCATGCAAAAATACATAGACACATATGTTATGTCAGTAATGTCACATATTGAACCGATTCAGCGACTTCTTTCTGACATTAGCACCCAAATGGGACACAGATGAGAATTATTATAATTATGATTGCACTAATAGCAACATCTAAGGATAGCCAATAAAACCTACCAGTGCAGAATGTGTATATATGGGCTCCCAGCTCCCTTAACATAATGTGAATGTATTAGTAAAAAAACATGGTAATCTTAAAAGAAAAAAACTTTGGCAAATGAAGGATAACTAGACGCATTAAAAAAGAGTTCAACATAGTGAGAAATCACTACATTGGAGCATTGGACACAAACGAAGCCCTTAATGCACATCTATAAATTTAGGATTATAGGAATACCATTTGTGCTTTCTTCACCCCCTTGACTTACTGTAAAGTGAAAACTTATATCCATATAATGAGGAGGCAAAACCCATAAGACTGAATATAAACTGGAAATTGTAAGCAATAGTTGCTAGAACACAGTTGCATTTACAGCTAGACTACCTGCCTTATTAGCCAAAAAGGGAACAGATATGGTTTAAAGCTTTGTCATTTGCAATATAAAAATGATACAAAATTGTTCTTTGCCAAAGATACTTTTATAAAAGTATAAAACTTATAACTTTGAAATGTATCAATCAAAATCATTAGCCAAATTTACCAACATTGACTTGAAAAGTCAAAGATGGCAATGTTTTAAAGGAAGGGATAGTATAAGATAAAGATACACATACTCCTGAATTCTTTATACCAGCTTGAGAAAACAAATACATACACTAAAAACCCAGAAGCTCGATCGAATAAAAAACAAAGATTTTTTTATCGTCCCTAACTCAGTAACGAAGTGGAGAAAATCGGGCTTGATGAAGTGCGAGAGTAATGGGAAAGGAGAAATAGCTGACCTAGCTTGGTGAATTCGCCGGAAGCGAGTGCATCAGTGTAGTACTTGTCGTTGTAGCGGACAGGGAAGAGGGCGGTGTTGAGCTTCTTCAGCTGCATCAAATTCTTGTCCCTAACACCATCCAATGAGATTGCCATATCGCGTTTGTATAGAGAAATTTAGTGGCTCGCCGGAGGGAGCTTGAGACTGAGTGCACTGTAATGATTTTGAGCTGCCGTCTGCACAAACTCTGATCGGCCGGAAAGGGATTGGAGGAGCGCGTGAGTTTGACGGTGATTAATTGTGGGCAATTTTGGCCCAATTCGCAGATCAAGCCCCAAGCATTATCTCAAATACAATTCTCGGCCTTCATTTCTTTAGCCCAAACCTATCTTTGTAGTTTGTGACTTGTGTTATCACAATTCACAATATCACCCACTTGCAATCGAGTGCAATTTTGTTCACTCTCTAAACCTATGTTTGCGTTTGTTTGTACATTTGAAAAGTGATTTATAGTAAAAGTAGATGGTGTATGAGAATAGAAATGATTTTAATTAAAATGTAAAATTTGTAGTGTTTGATAAAAAATGATGGTGATGTACTACCGTAATATTTTTCTGAAAAGTACAAAAATATCCTTGAAATCAAAGTCTACAGAAAGATGGAGAAGAAATGTTTATGTTTTGAACAGATGAGCTATGTACGATGAAGGGTAAGGTTGGAGTTTGGGATGGAAATTGAGGAATATAACTCTCCCCAAACTTCCACAGTTGTTTCCACTTATTTACAACAATACCTAAAAGCACATAAAAGCTACTCTAAGTTCCTTTGAGCTTTTGCATCAAAATCACTTAAATTGAAGCTAGTTTTTTGACACACAAGCACTTTTAACAGCTTTTTCTATCACAAAAGTCAAAAAGTGATTCCTAACAGCAATAGCAAACACAGCCTTAGAGAATGTTAAAAACCGGATTAAACCGGTTTTGGTATATTTTTAACATATTAATTAATAGTATTAATATAAAATAGTTATAGAATAACAAAAAAATAGCAATAAAAAATAAATAGTAATTGTTTTAATATGTAGTGTATATTTCTTAAAAAAAATGTAGTGTATATTGTCATAATGTTTTAGTCTACACTCAAATTGCTTCAATCTTTGCTCTCTAAGACTAATAAAAAAAATTAAATAAACACTAATAGTAATAGTAATATTACTAGTCACAAATACCCTTATTTTTATCAAACAAATAAGTTGTATTTGCTAGTAAATTAAATTAATAATTTAGAAACCGGTTTTCCGGTCCGGTTTCGGTTTTGAACGGTTAAACCGGTTCGGTTCCGGTTCAAAACCGAAATATATCCAGCCCGGTTTTCAGTTTCTATTTTGTTGCAAATTCGGTTCCGATTCGGTCCGGTCCGATCTTGAACGGATGCACACCCTAGCGGCGAGTGATGGAAGCCTGATGGCGGCAGTACTAAAAGGTCTTTTTGGAAACTCATATACTTTTAATTTTACTGTATGGGAATTTAAAACTTCTAATCTTGCGCTTACCATTTGAATTTCATTTACTCCAATTTTAACCAAATACAAATAACATCTAATCAAGGTAATCATTCTCTATGCAGAGCTAAAACACAGGTCAAGTTTAGGTATATGATTTTCATAAATAGTTGCTGTTTTAATTTAAAATTACATCAAAAGTTACATTTAAAAGTGAATAGGTCAAATACGTAAAAATATCTAAATCGAACAAAAAGCATATACGGAGTAAGTTCTAGAAAAAATATTTTATTCTGGGATATTAGATCCAAAAATAATAAATTTCTAGAGGAAATTATTTACATTATATTCTGGGACGAAAATATAAAAGGAAGAGGTACGAATTAAACTAAGATGATAGAGAATATACAATACTGGGACAACCATGAATAAGCTAAGCAAATTAGTTCGGTAGTTGCGGCGATCTTAGTCCCACACCGAAAACATAGTAGACATACTATCTAGTAGTGACATATAAAGTAAACCATTCTACAACTTCAATCTTCAAGCAGCCATGCGTTGAGCACAAAGCGAACTATTCTTTCGCCTTTTACTAAAGAATACCGTGTGCACGACGCAATAAATGGCATACTCCCATTTTTGGAATGGTGTTTTCCTCTAGGAATGCACCAAGCAAATGTAGTGAAAGTTTCAATTGCGAAGGGGATATCTGGAAGGTTTGTTTAATACTCCGTATTTCAGGTGGCCTTAATTATTAGTCCCACACTTCCAGCTTTGGAAGACAATATGAATTTGGATTTGGGTTTCAAAGCCTCTGAATCAAGAAATCAGAGCCGGTTCTGGTCTTAATTTCCTGAATGTGTCTAAATAATGAGTAAATCTTTCCATATCAAAGAGCTGAGTCCAAACTCTATCAATGGTCTTAAGTACCTGGCTAAACTAGCTTTAGGGTACATTTGACACAATTAATTGAAAAGATATTTGTGATGGTTGTTTGGTAAAAAACTGATTGTTTTATTTAATTCTATTTGGTATACAATCTGTTGGACTAATTAATGTTAAAAGTCACAAACCCTTCTCGGATGTTATTCCATGGAATATCTCAAAAAAGATCTTTTATTTTTTGAAAAACTCTTAAAAATTGTCATGTCAAACATACATTTACAAACACTTTGATACTTTTTAAATAATACAAAAGCTAAAAGGCAGAGACTTATGGAGTTATGCTTGCCAAACATGCACTTAGATTGGGCAAGAGTACACAACTGAAGTGGGATAAAACCATTTTTGTCCTAATTTTTCTTTAGGTTTACAATTTCCACCGATTTTTTAGTGATGTCATTGGCTAGGATGACAATGTCAATGGTTAGGGGACGTGGCAAAGTCACTAGAGCGCTAGTATGGATAGTCACATGAGGCGTTAGGGGTCATGTGGGAGCTAGGTCACCAGTGGTGGTAACTAGGGGAAATGGTGTCTCCGGCCGGGGAGAACAATGGCACCGAGTAATCGATCGGGCGCAACACAAATGCTAGCAGGCCGCCAGAAATGTTTTGGAAACTTTTGCGGCGGCTGGCGGTCCGGCGGTAGGTGGTAGTCCAACATCCGGGGGATGCAGTGGTAATGGTATATGAGGGTATATTGGTCCAATTACAAATAAAAAGTAATATTTAAGGATGTTTAAATTTAAAAAAAATACGTTTTAGTCTTGTTTAGATAATTCTCCCAATTTTCGTCTTCCCATAATTTGACCAGAAATTTTCTAAGATGGTCTTTTCTGCTCTGATTTGGTGTGTTTAAGTCTAGCCTAAAATGATAGATTATGTTCTATGTGTGTTCCACAATTGTTGAAGTCTGATTTGGCTTGTTATGATCTGACATGATGTGGTCTATTTAAATTAATTCTGATCTAGTTTAAATCGGAATGATCTTGTAGATGAATTTCGATTGTTCCATCAGAAATATTATATAATCATCCTATCTCTCTGTCTCTCATATGTAATAATGTGCACGACATACATGTGACATAAAAATTTATAGACATGTTAAAACAGATCATTGACATTCCTCTCACATTGATTTCATGATTTTATGTGTTTTTAGTAACTTTTTTCTCAACAATGTCAACCACTGTATTTACATCTACCCTCTTCTTGAGAAATATACATTAAAACCCTAAATCTTAGACCCTAAAGGAATAATAAAAATGTTTGAAACAACAATACAGATTCACGATGTCCCAAAGGACCCAAGTCCCAAACCACCAAAACTTTAAAATAACGTTGAATGTAAAATTGTGAATAATCCAAACTCAAAATTGTAAAATTATGCAAAACAATCCAAACTCAAAATTGTAAATAATCCAAACTCATCAGTAGATAAATGTCAGTACAATGCTCAATCACTCAAACAACCCGCGTACACTAAAGAAATTATAATCTTAATGTTTATAAAAATAACTAAAAATAGACTAGTAGACATATGCACTAGGAATTTATGCGTGTGTATGTATGTTTATAAAATGCACCGAGTACTTATATAAAATGTCACCACGTTTATTCAATTTAATGCATTTTATATATGCATGTTTAGAGTAATTAGATGACATATCCAATTCATCAAATTTATTCTTATTTTTCACGAGAATCCAGTCATTTTATCTAGGGATGGACTGGGCCGGGCCGAACCGGCCCGGAACCGGACCGGCCCGCTACTGTGCGGGCCCGAACCGGACCGGGCCCGGTTGGCCGGTTCCGGGCTTTTAGCCCGTTTTGGCGGGTCGGGCGGGCCGGTTCCGGGCCCTGTTTTTGTTGAACCGGCCCGGGCGGTTCGGGCCGGGCCCGGTTCATTTTTTTTTTTTTTTTGGTTTTTTCAATTTTTTTTCTTTTCCTAGGGTAGGGCTGGGTGTTTTAGGGAGGTTTGGGGCGTGGGGGTGAGGGGGGGGGGGGTAGGGAGATAACAAGAAAGTCAAAAAAAAAAAAAAAAAAAAAACATTGAACCGGGCCCGGCCCGGCCCGGCCCGGTTAGGCCCGGACCCGGTATCAACCCGGGCCGGTTCCGGGCCCATGTAACCCGAAAAAAAAGCCCGCCCGGGCCCGGCCCGGAACCGGAACCGGCCCGGCCCGGGTCCATCCCTAATTTTATCTGTTATGACTTGCTATAGCCTAAAACAATGCACTTTTTGAAACAAATTAAAAAAGTCGATAAAAATTTTAAAATAGAAAATCTGTATAAAAAAATCATAAGTCAAAATTTGAATCATTTTTGCTTAATTTTGAATCATTTTTGTAACTATTTTGTACTTATAGTTGCATATTTTTAAACCTTAGCTTATACGGCTTTTACAAATTTTATCAATTCTTTAACTATCATATTCATCTAGTCATTGAATTCTTTAATGCAGGAATAATTAGTTGCACACTAACACTCAAATAATCATATTTATTTAGGATTCTATATATCACTATAAGCAGTTACAGGCCCCTGAAATAAGCACATAAATGTTTGAAAGAACTAGGCCATCCTAGGGATGGACTGGGATGGGACTGGGCCGGGCTTCAGGATGGGACTAGATGGACTTCAAGCTTAAGGATATCAGGCCCAATACCGGCCCGGGTTTGTACCGCAACCAGGTCGGGTCAGGCCCAAACGATACCGGGTCAAGAGCCCAAGAATGGGTATTCAATTAAAAAAAATAGTGCAGTCGGGCCCGGACCCGGGCGGGTTGGGCCCAAAAAATCGAGCCCGAAGCCCGCCCTTAAAGCCACTGGTCCGGCCCCAGGTCAGGCCCAAGTTAGGCCGGCCCATCCCAATCCATCCCTGGGCCACCCTCCATCTCTTTGGGGACCACATTCGTCTTCTTCCAATTAATTATGTATGCGTACCCTTAATTTATCAGGTTTTGAGCTGGGAGTCTGGGACGTGTTACAGAAATATTCTTTCTTGCAATCACTTAAACTACCCAGAGGTCCATAGACATAACAGGGTATCTTATACGGAGTATATGGAACGACCGAACGAGCAAACAACCACCTCATGACTTTAACCGGCTAAGAACTATAGGCATGCATGCAGCCAAATTGGGATGAATCACATAACTGGCCAATTAAACTAAGAATGATAATAAGCAACCCCTTGCAATTAAATTATGAATGCATCATCACGCAAATAAATGAAATTTGAAATTAAGGAAATTTAATTGTCAGCCCAAAGAACAATTCAATTTTGGTACAACTAATAAATACGGAGTACATTATTACAAGAAATCCCCTGTTTGAGATTTTGTAGGGGGTGAAGCAAATAATTATTGCCAATTACAAATTTACAATCACAGTCTCACAAGTGTACCTTGGGAATAGAAGTAGATACAGAATAAAAGAGATAATAATAAAACTCATATCACATCTTCACATTCAGAATGCAGAATGCGTATTATTGGTGGAGTTTATTTAGGAAGAATGATTGTGGAGGATAAAATAGATAAATATGATTATGTCTGTAGAAAGCTGGCATACTTTGCACCTAAGAAGAGTCGTTGGATGCATAGCAAAGCATTTTTTGTGACCTCTGCATTCTCATTGTTCAAAAGCTTCATTGCACGTTCCTTGACTTTGAGGTCAGTCACGATTACCCTACCAGCAGGATGGCACTGAATGAACTGTGACAGATCATAACAAGCAACCGCAAGTGTTCTTGGATCACCCGACGTGTCCAATATCATAACAAGGACCCTCAGGATCTGCATTCCAACTCTGGGGGATTAGTCTTTTGTTATGCTATTCAATGTGGTTTTGTTTTGTTTTTTTGATAGTATATACTACGTATTATATAGTTTTGTTCCCCATAATATCACAGGCATGTGATAGATATGTTTTTTTTTTTCATCTAAAACTATACCCCGTATTATTTTGTCTGGAGAGCTTTTGTTAATTTAGCCTCCCATTATTTGTTTGGATGACACTTTTAGCTCGTCTTGGAACTTTTTCTATTTCAATATTACAATCACTGTGACACCAACACTTTTGGTACCTGTCTTTAATTTTCCCCACTTTTAGGTGAAAGCCACCTCTTGTGGCAAAACTCAAAAACAGTGTTAAACTGTAAACACTAAAAAAGAACCAAGTTTTTATTAAAAATTTGATTATTGTTCTAAACCAGCAAAATTCAAATCAATGCCAAAATCCCCTAAGGTCTGAATGATCTTGATCTGGCTGGGCCGATTTTGAATCATTCAGGTCTGGTCTGGTTTGTATGTTTATGATCTTGTCTGAATTCTTTTTTCTAAATTACAACATCTGATTTCTTTTGTTATGATTAGAATCTTTTTGGTCAAATTTAGTCAATTAAAATAAATTTAAGTAAAAAAGGTTAAGCAAACAACACCGCATCAATTTCCATGATCAATTGAAGCACTTATAACCAAGTTGATTTTCTCATCCAAACTTGGGACTTCTTTTTGTACCACTTGACCCACACTAAGTTTTGTTGCAAAGAACCAATTCCATCCAACCATTGTAATTGTCCAATCCATTTAAATTTATTGAGTGCTCTGTCCTTCTTTGAATCCATGGATGTGAAGGCGAAGGTGAACTACTAATGAGTTTATGCCCAAGTGTATGCCCTAAATGCATATATATATATATATATATATATATATATATATATATATATATATAAAAGCTAAGGAATGAACATCATCAGTACCCTAATTCCAATTTCGGAATGCATTTGGACTTGATTTTGTTTTATTTAGCTTGATACCAATAAGTTATCATTAAAGTGAGTGCACGCCTGTGCTCTGTGGCACATGATCATATATCGTTATGTACCTGATGAGATAAAGATGGAGGGGAACGAGTAATTGAAACAAAAAAATGGGATACAGCTCCATACTCGAAGGGGTCTCATAAAATTAACCCTTTCAACTTTGCAATGTGGCATGACTACAAAAAAATTTTCATTTCATCGCACTTATGATATTTCCATGAAAGTAGGAATTAAGATGACAGGTTTGCGGTTTGGTCATTATTATTTTTTGTTTAGAAGGTATGAAGCATTAAAGACATCTGGCTTAAAAAACACAGTGATTTTTTTGCATTAACCTAGTGTTAAGTAAATAGAGTTACTTATTGACAATACAGATTAAGGTGGTGGTGGGCTGGTGGTGGTGATGATTATGAAAATAGACATCTAATGGCCAATTTTTATCACAAAATTGATATTTCTACAATGCAAAGCTGAATAAGTGATACCTGGAAATCATTCTCTTCAAAACTTGTTATGTTATCCCTCCAGAATGAAGGATCTTTATGCATAGGATCTAGATGACCAAGAAGCACCTCCTGCTTGTACTTGTCAAATGAACTCAGTTTTTTAATCTTATCTTTCAGTCCTTCTTCTAGCTGGTTAAGAGCCTCCAAAAGATCCTACAAAAAATGGCAATGAAGTTTTATGACCAATGAAGTTTCTCACTCCATTTTATGATCATTTCAATCCAGTTACAATTTTAATCCATAACAAGATAAAATTCAAGAGCCTGTGAGCCCATTCTCCCACCTCATCACTCCAAGCCTGTGCTTTCAAGTTCTGAGCAATATGAAGCACTCCCAGGTCCACCATAAGTGCACCAAGTGCCCCCTTGTAAAGCCAATTTCTCAGAGTCAAGACTACAACTCTGACAACCTACATGTTGATACACCAAATGTAATTGATCGATATGTGTTTATACACACAAACACAAACACAATTTCAATGCATCTTACTATCTTAGATGAAAAACTAATCTCGGTTATGGATAAAATGGAGGGACGAGAGCACTAAGGAAAAAGTACAGTGTGGGATGAGAGTTCACTTCTTATACATGGAAGTGAAAAAGTGAATCGTTGGATACATAGGACAATAATAGTACACTTCTATACATGTCAAAAGTGCATCATTGTCTGAAACCAAATGTGGTTTGCAGCAATCGGAAAACCACACAAACAAATCACACAAATCTTGAAGGTAAATGACAAACGGGAATTTGGAGATCAAGCAATTAAAAATTTAAAAGCATATTGCATTATTTTGAATTACATTATTTCCTTTTTTGGTCCCGTCTTTATTCAACTCCCCTGTCTTAAGGAGTGTTTGCAACAGCTTAAAAAAAGCACTTTTGGAGTGATTTGAAAAAAGTGGTTAGTAGTAAAAGTTGATAGTGTTTGAGAAAAAAGTGGTTTTGAAAAGTTGGTAGTGTTTGGTAAAATAAGTGCAAACAAACCCTTAGTAAAGCCAATGTATGGTCAGTCAAATAATGAAATACTACGTAGTATACACATTCGGAGCCAGAAAAAGTCCAGGGGAATTTGCAGAGTTCTCAATTAAAATTCCTACTTCTATTACAATAAAACTTTGTTTGCTTCTAGAATTTAGTTCTTCCCAGTATTCTAAACAGCCCAAAATCTCAGTTTTCCCTCCCACTAGCCCGAAGACCCCTGATGAGATATTGCACACAAGACGCGAATATCATAAAGAGCCTAAATTTATTCTCATTTTTCAAACAGAAATTTAGTTTTCATTTCAAACTAACCCTCTAAACACATATATGTAGACAGAGAGAGAGAGAGAGAGAGAGAGAAACATCTATTTGTGCGTAAGACTTGTACACATTGGGAAAACTTTGAATTAAACAAAGCCAAAAATGAGGAGTGAGTAGGTAGAGTAAGCAACTAAACACAAATTGTAAATGCAACAGATTATGTCAGAAATCGAGAAAAACAAATCTGGAGTTTGCGCATAAGCATGTCATATATGGAAGGAAGTTCATTGAAGGTGACCCATATTGAACTATATGGCCGACCTTTTCCTTCGTAGAAGCTTTAACAACTTCTATTAATCGTGGAAGAGCCCTCGAAGTCACGAAGTACTCTATTGCAGGTTCATAGTATGACAAAAGCCAAACGCATACACATGTTTCATAGAGGAGCTGTTACAAGGAAGAGAAGTCATACACGGAGATTAATGACTACACATGACTGATATGAAGAACAGAAGTAGGACATAACAAAAGAAAATCATTTATCAGAATTAATAGGTTGCATGTAGCTGAATGCATTCTTCAAAAAAGAGAGTACGATTCAAATTAAGCTAATTATCCTTCAATTACCAAAAATAGGCCCAGACAGGTTACATACTTTCATGCATGTGATAATAACTAAAATAAAATTAGTATGATTGATGACAATTGTACCTTATAAAAATTGAAAGTTTGTACACCTGCCAAAAAAGACTCTATTTGGGAAGGAGGTAGTATATGAGTCGTCGTCATCATTACCCCAATGCCGCAAAGGCTCCCACCTACGGTGGGGTAAGGGGGGTCGGATGTACGCAGTCTTACCCCTGCACTAAAGCACAGAGAGACGGTTTCCGGGTGACCCATAGTGAAAATCGCGTCGAATATTGCATGGACTGACTACTGCTTCATAACAAAGAAGCGCAAACAGTTTAGTGAACCATTTTGCTTTTTCTAACGTATTCTCAAGCCAAACAAAAGTGAGTCTTTGGCTCCATTGCAAATCATGGAAATAAGGAGGTAGTATGTGAGTATATCTGATAATTCCCAGCATATCGAGACGTTTGGAGCATAAAACAATATATTTAATACAAAGCACCACCTGGATAGACTGCTGGGTAGAAGCTGGAGAAATTAAAGGGACAAGAAGCTTCACTCCATCAGCTTGAACAAATAATGATCGCACCAAAGGATCTTTCAACAGAGTAGCAAGGCTATTGACTGCAGTTGGAATGCCACGACTAGGATGAGTTGGTCTTTTCAGCTGAATCAAACATGTCTTAATATATGTTATATGGCTCCCGGAAGTTAGTGGGAATAAAAATGATAATACTCATATAATACTTCAATTATAAGGATATCTTATAGGTCTAGGTGAAACATTACTACTCCATGGCTCCATCTCTCTGTTTTTCCTAGAAGAGACTAAGACTAAGAGTATAATTGGGATAACTGAAAATTTTGATTATTCCAATAATGATTATACATATAACCATATATTGTTGTAATCAATTATAACCAGAACTTGTTTTTGTTTGGTAAACTTTGCTGAAAAGTTGTTCAGATGTAATTAATTTTATTTGGATGCAACAAGGTAAAATAGTATGAAACAGCTGGAAGAAGAAGAAGAAAACTTGCTGTAAATAATCATAAGCTACAAATTTGCAACTTCAAAAACCGTTGAGAATTTATAAATAAAAGTTGTTCTAGAAAAAGCAGAATGCTCCCAAACATGACTAACATCTCAAAAACAGCTGAAATTTCAAAAGAGCCGAAAGTGCCGGTTCCAAAACAAGCTCCAAGGAGAATAGTTTTCAGCCTGGCATTATACAAACCTGTACACAAAGCCACTCAACAAGGCCCTGTAAAACATCACCAACGCTAGTGAGTTGCTTTTTTGAATTTGTGGCATCCTCATTATCAACACCATCTTCCTGAACTTTTGGCCTGGCACTGGAATTAAATAAATATTAAAGTTTTGGTGAAGTTTAACAAATCCTTCAAAGTCTCCTCACAAAAAAAGAATTTGCTACCTTACAACCAATGAAAGTATCCTGCAACTCTTCTCTTGTATAAACCAGTTACCTTTTGACATCAACCTGGAGAGAGGGGGGATGGTTTAGAAGACCCATGAGGATAACAGAACACTAACACGGGCAATAAAATAATAAAAAACGATACTTCATATTCATTACAAAAGTAATACCATGCTGGGGGGTCATTTCAGTAGTTGAGATGACGAGATAAGGGTCCCACGATATTCTAAACATCCCTCCCTATATCGGGTCTAGGATGTCATAATTCGACTATATTTTTCCTGACTCAGGCCCCACCTAATTATCTTTATATCCTGCCTAACCTCCAAACAGTCCCTGCCTAGGGAACTAGGACTTACTGTGGATTGCTTCTTACGACATTGGTTAACACCGCAAAGTGAGATAGATGAAATAGATTCTTAACTGTTGCTTTAAAAAATAATCACCTTTTTTAATAACAGAAGTTATAGATAGAACAGTGATGCACTTATTTGTTATAACAAAAAGTGATATCATTACTTTTACAGCATTAGTGACCACCTCAAAATCAGATTAGGAAACTAAATTCTTAAGCGGTGTTTTAAAAAAAGCAACCACTGGTTTTGTTTTGTATAAGAACAGTTCTAGATAGAGAAGTATTGCACTTATCTGTGATAAAAACAGCTGACAAAGTGACAAATGCACATATGAGGGCAAAAAAATATATTAATAAATCCAGCGTATTAGAGAGAATTGATAAACATAAGATAGAGAAATTGCCTTAGGAAAGGTTTGTAAGTGTCCTCATCCACAAGAGACTTGTCTTGAAATAATCTGGCTCTTGTTGGATTAACTGCAAGGGAATGAAAAACGGGTGAGGTAAACACAATCAACATGAGCATAAAAAGTGGCAATAACTACCTCTTCCTACCAGTAAGCATTTCATCAATTAAAGCTAAAACATATTCCAACGTTTCTTCTTTGCCAATGTCACTCAAGATGCTAACAAACACTCGGGCATAAGCTGAACCATCCTGCAGAAGTTTCAATTAGTTAATGCCTCCAACATTGTGCCTTCTACGAACTTCCAACAAAATGGATCTCTCAAAGCTGACTCTCTGGCAGACACAATGAACTAATGATGATATTGACAGATTGAAAACCAGGGATGAAGAATGTAGCAATGAAACTTGACCTAGTCCAGTAAACAAGATATAGAACCAACATAAGTGCATAGCATCTTAGTCCTGTCACCGGTGTTTAAAAAGGTGCTTTTAATCCTTGAGGCGCTTTACATTTACGAAGCAAAGTGTAGGCCTCAATGCGGTTTGAAGTGTAAGCCTCAAACTTTATACAATACTTCATTTAATATTTAAAATTACTAAGAATCAAAAACATATTATAAAAAAATCATAAAAATGGGTCCTAAATATGTGTCATAGAGCACTATCATAAGATTAACTCGTTAAAGAAAAGATTTTGAGATTTATCATCTTTATAAAAAAACAAAATAAGTTGTTGAAAATGATAAAAATAGAGAAGAAATGGGTGGATCCTGAAAATTTGAAGAAGAAGAAAAGTTATGCCACTTATGCTGTTATAGTTTATATATAACAAAGCTTTTTGTTACTAAAACCCACAACAAGGGCGAACGACAAAGCAACTATTCCATTAACCTACAGATTGGCAATGACTCTGAAGTCTGAATCATAGTTATATTCCATTAAAAATATTATCATTTATACCAACTAATATATATACATGCTTAAAAGATCAAAAAATTTAAAGAAATATGATGTTTTTACGCCAGCATGGAATATGAAACAGTGTCTCTTAAATGAACCAACATCATATGGGATCCTTGAGCATCATAGGTTTCTCATGCAAACATAGATTCCTTACATGTACGTTGTATTTTTAAAAGGTTGGAATAATGAATATTGCAACCTAAGACAAAGGTTGATCTAATAACAGCACGGAACAGGTGATAATCACAAATGATTTGGAGAAAATAGCAGAAAAAATGTGTACATCATCCAGAAGCTGGGATTTGTAACTTTCAGCCTTCTTATCATAACGCCTTAACAGCTGAAGGCCAGTCCCTGTGATCAGCTTTGTTGTCATGTAAGTCTCCCAGGGAATATCCCTAGTCAAAACCTTCAAACAAAGCAAGATTAAAGATAAGGCAGTCAATAAAACACATTACTACTAATACTGCTCTTGGAATCGGAAGATGATTGCTTGCCCCCCAGGACCCCCCATTGTGTATAAGTAAATGGTTGGGATACAACTATAATTTGTTTGTAATTCAGAAGAAAGGCCGTTCAATCTCTGAAGTGCAATCACAAACACACATGTACATGTCTTAGGGAGATTTGGGGGAGAGGGGTGTTGATTACTCACCTGCTCAGTGGTGAGCTCAGCGTGATCCGTAGGCATGTTGAATGTAGAACTCAGATCTAAAATGATATTGGAACATAAAAACCATAATACATCAATGCAACGAGTAATCTAATGCAACTAGAAACAACACACTCTGAGTCAATTTCCAGTAGAGCATATAAACATGTAGAGCCGATCATGTATCTTTTGGGTGTATGGGCGGAACTTTTGCATGGGCTTGTTCCAGTACAAACATAAAACGTATTTCACTAAACTATAAAGTATAAGTGCATAACCAAAATAAGTAAAGGCAAACTACAATAAGAACAAAACTTATTTTAATAATTAGATAAGTTAATATTGATGCAAGATCTCACACATAGCCTAATAAAATTAACACTTGATCTAAAATAAATTCATCTTCCGATAGTTGAACATTAGACAAATCAGGCTAATCCAGAACCCATCAAATATCGGAACAAAAGTAGCAGCACAGTTATCGAATAAAAGTACAAAATACAAATATTACTTAAAAATTGATAGGGTTCCTATCAAAAACGTTTCTTGTGGGGCATTGTGAAGCGAAATCATCAACGACATCTTCATAACCAACCTTATCCAACATATTATACCCAAGAAAAACATCAAGTCTTTCTTGAGACATAGTTGATCGCAAGTAGTTTTTAAGAATCTTCAACCTCGAAAAAACTTCTTATCGACGGTGGCAGCTGTCACTCTCACAGATACTGTCAACAATATCATGCAAGTAATTGTTGTATTTGCATAATAACCCAAGTTTTTAACAAAATTATGAACTTTTATGGCTGTATCATTGTTGTATGGTAAAACATTTTGCAGCATTTTCAGTTCTTGAGAAAGATCATCCTTTCTCGGAATGGATACAAATTTACACATAAATTAAAGAGAAAAGGGTCAAATAAGACATTCTATTATTACGAAATAGTCACATAAGGTCGTGTACTCAACAAAGTGTCATATAAATACGTCTACTTATAAAAAGCAATCAAATGAGTCCTAACGGCCTTTTGACAACCTCGTAATCCCGATTTTAGCGTACATCCGGCTATCTTGTTAAAACAGATTATAAGGCTAATGTCAAATATTTTACCAGGGTTGACTTAAATACAAGGCAAAAATAACGACACGTATGATAAAGTCGAGATTAGGAGGTTGTCAACGGGCCGTTATGACTCATCCGATTGTTTTTTATAAGTAGACGTATTTATTTGACACTTTATTGAGTACATGACCTTATGTGACTATTCCGTTATAGTAGAAGACCTTATTTGACCCTTTTTCCTAAATTAAAAGATACCACCGATGACCTAATATGCCCATGCGAAATTACCGAAAACAAAAGTATACACGAATTCATATATAAGTTATAACACACAGCCACTTAAGATACCTACTTATTAATGTCCATTTTTGTTGCTGTTACATATCTCAACATCTGCAACCGTTAGGGATGTTACATCTCAAAAAACTTAATTAGATATTTAGTGATGCACAACTACCAAATACAAAATGGTATCATCATTGACAAGCATAGAGGTCACTACCTCCAGGGGCGGATCTTTCATTTGAGTTCAGTGTGAGCAAAAAAATAATGTCTAAAATAACTTGAGTTGCAAGAAAAAAGTAAAATACAAAAACAAATATTAGAAATGTTTTACAAGAAAATGAATTTTCACTAAAGTCATACAAAAAACACATCATAGTTGTTTTCTAAGAGTTTTCATTGACATCAATTGATAATTTTCAGGAAGATTTCTTCTTCAATAGGTTTAAAGAAATATTTTGAGCTAATATTTGATTCTACCAGAATCCACCACATCACAGGCTAAATGAGCTAATATTAAAAAGTTAGTCACAATCAAATTAAAAACCAATGGGGTTTATATTGCTAAATAACTTTAAATCAGTGTATACATACAGGAAAAAGATCCTGTCCGCCGTCCGGCTGCCGCCGTTTGGGGAGGTTACCGGTGGAATTTGTTGATGATTTTTTTGATAATGTTCCTCATCAAGTCTAATTTATCCACACAAAAAAAATCAGCTAAAAATTCAATCGGGAAGGCAGTGAAATAAATTTTTGAAAATAACTGCGTTTTATATGTATATTTTGGCGCAGTTATCTTCAAAATTTTATTTTACTGCCTTCCCGAATGAATTGTTAGCTGAAATTTTTTGTGGATAAACTAGACTTGATGATAAACATGCTCAAAAAATTCATCAAAAAATTCCACCGGAAACCATCCCAAATGGCGGCGGCCAGATGGAGCATCTTGTCCCTCCGGCTGGACAGGATCATTATATATAATCATAAAGATGAAACTAACAATAAAAAAGTGTCATGATAAGTTAAACTAGTTAAATCAAACAAGAATGTATGAGGTTTCTATAATAATTCTTAATATCAAAAACAGAAATTGTCCTAAATAGGAGTGAAAACAATGTGACATAAGTAATGTGTAAGGATTATCATCCTTACAAAATACCGTCAATTATGACTTATTACTTCCATATTAATGTCTGCCTGATGCCAGAACATAACACTCCTATTTTGGAATTTATAGTTGTTTTAAGACAAAATCTTTTAGGAATAAGGCTTGTATGTTGTTGTATAGTTGATTGCATAAAGTAGCTGTAAAACTGAAATTAGCTAATACCTATTAACGGTTGATGAGTTTTAAATTATGCACACTAAAGTATAATTCAAGAACTAATTATGCACACCTATTTCCCATACTGGAATTCCCTATTCCCCAAACGATAAAACTGGATTTAGAGTAGTTATGCAAAAACGGAAAGAAAGACTACAATTCAAGTCAAAACTAACGAAGAAGGCAACAGTGCAAACTAAGGATTTACAGATTTTACCGGCAGTTTTAAATTAATAAATTGAAACATTATTTATTTCCTTTACCTGAAGTGTTGAAGGCGGAGGTTAGAGGGAGGTTTTTCACTTCGGTTGTTCAGCAAACCTGGTCATGGCTTCTGAGTTCTGGCCACCATAGCATTTCTCTTCATAATAAATAGCTTTATACATCAACGACAGCGAAAATACAAAACTTCGCCAGGTACAATGCTTTGGCCAATCTTTGGAAAAAGCAGGTGAGGAAGAAAGAGATATAGCTTTTGTAATTCGGATCTGGTTATTTGTTTCGCGCAGATGAAGAACGCCGGTTGTGGGTTGTTTTTGTCCTGAAATGAAGATGTACTGAGTATTTTTTTTGGAAGAGAAGATCTACTGAGTTAACTGTCACGAAAATAAAATGAATATTAATGGTGTTAACTTTTTTTTCTTTCTCTTTTTAATTTTAAATATATCAAAGCAAAATATACATATAAACATTAACAATTTTATATTTGAATTTAATTTTTATTTCTGCTATAAATTAATTTACCCCATAACATTTTCAATATTTTTTGTAAATTATAGGGAATAATAATAGAAATATGTGCTACTTATGAAATCTTTTATTATCGTTTACTCGCTCCGTTCTTCGATAATTGTCCTCTTAGTTTTATTGTGTTTTTAAGAAGAAAATAGTAAATTTAGTATAAGGGATGTAGGAAAATAGAAAAGTAGGAAATAAAATATATTGAGAAGAGTAAAATAATGATAAAGTAAGAAAGAGAAAGTAATATGTAAAAATTAAAAAGGGGGCAAGAGTAATAAAAATGGGGGTATAAAGGTATTTTGATTGGAAAAAAATTACTAAAAGAGAAAGAGAGAGAGAAATATTTAACAAAACATCTCAAAAAGGAATACAAGATAGCTACGGAGTAATAGAGAATGGAAAGAGTATTTCTAATATACATTTTATTTATATTCATTTTAATTCTTTTTTTTGAAGAAAATATTCATTTTAATTCATTATGTGCCAGTTTCGTGGTCTTGATTTTTTTGCTTTTCAGGTTTATAAGCCAACTCTTCACCAAACACGTAACTTTTGATTTTACGGGCTGAATTGTGTAATAAAAAAAATAAAATTGGAGTTATTTTTCTGGTTGTATTGGCTGAAATTACTGTAGAGGGTCCATTTTAGCTATTTTCATATAATTTTTTCTTTATTTTATTAATAAAATGTATTTAAATTATAATTTTTCACAAATTAGCATAATTAACCAATATAGTCACATCAACCAGAACTTCATAAATTTCAGCAGAATCAGCCAATACAACCGATTTGGCTACTACCAAATGGGATCTATAATAGAGATTTCAAACTAGTTTTAGTAACGCTCCATTAAATATTAGAGGTTCTACCATAAATATTAGTGAAATATATTAGAGGTTCTACCATAAATATTAGTGAAATATAATTCATGAACAAAAGTATTACTATGGTTACTATGCATAGTCATTATACTGGTAGAGTTGAACACAATCATAGTCATTATACGTACTATGATAGTCACTAAATTATATTTTTGTCCGCTACTTTTATTTCAATCATATAGTTATCACTATTTCTAAATATTAACATAAAGTATATGATAATTATTTTTAATTTAGTCAATTTTAATTTATAACTAGATATCTCTTACGGAGAAAAAATTAAACGGATGAGATATCAGGAATATGTTTTGTTCATGTTTATGGAACCTTTTATATTTAAATGGAAGTATATATGAATAGAAACATATCTTTTCTATGATAGTTTAATATATCATCCACTCCAATTATAGTAGATATCATTTTATATAATCTGACTAAGTTGACAATAATTTGTATAATTTGACTACTTTAAAATCACTATTATAATAAATAGAAAAAATGAATATAAATATATAGATAAGGAATAAAAGATAATAGAGCATTTGATTAGTATGTAGTGTTAAATATTTCTATTATATTTTATGAAAAAAATTGAATATCAAATTAAATTTATAGCAAGAATAAGATTAAACTCAAATATAATATTTTTAATGTCATTTATATTTTGGCTTCAACATATTTAAATTTATAAAAATAACGGAAAACTTAACACTGTTAGCACTCTGTTTCTTTTTATCGGTGTCAATGTCGTCTTATTATTATCGGATACTAGTCTTAAATAGGAGTAATATTACTCTTAAATGAAACAATAGGATTACTCTTAAAATATGAGTAATATATGTCTCCTTTTCATATTCTACTTGTTTCCTATAATCTCTTATATATTTATTTTCAGCATCTTTTCAATGTGCCCATTTATTTTGAGCATCTTTTCAATGTGCCCATTTATTTTTAGCATCTTTTCAATGTGCTTCTTCAATTACATGTGGCCTACACTGGAGTTGTCAGTGATCTTTGTCTCGTACTTTTATTGTATCCCTTTTTGACTGACAACCCTCAAATGGAACCTCTAATTGCATCTATATGTAGCCACCAATGTCTTAATCTCAAAACAATTAGATCAAGTTTCTTTCCTATGTTGCTGAACACTCAAAGGGACAAATTTTTACACATTTCATTCTAATCTTTGGCTCAATTTTTACAAAATGTTTGTCTCTTTTCTCATGAACGGCATACATTATCATAACACGTACTCTTGAATTGGGTTCCATCATCAAACAACATCCTAAATCCAATGTGGGTGAATTAAACTCATTATTGTAGAACGGAAAGTTGGTTTCATCTCTCTTGCTAGCATCTTCTTGCTCATTTTCATAGACAACATCATCATCATCAGCAGGAGTAGGCATGGACCCGGTTCGGGCCGCCCGGCCCGCCACTGTGCGGGCCCGGAACCGGCCCGGTTCTCGGGTCCGGGTCCGGGTCGGGCCTAGGCCCAGTGGGGGGGGCGGGTCCGGGCTCGGGCCTTGTATTTGGCGAACCGGCCCGGCCGGGTCGGGCCCGGGCCGAAATGATTTTTTTTTTTTCATTTTTTTTTCATTTTTTGGGGTTAGCCGGGTTGGGCTTGATGGTTAGGAGGGGTTTGGGGGGGTGGGGGGTGAGTGGGGGGGTTAGGAAAGCAAAAAAAAAAAATATGATCGAACCGGAGGCCCGGCCCGGACCCGGACCGGACCCGGTGGCTACCCGGGTCGGTCCCGGGCCTTCCTTCCCAAAAAAAGCCCGCTCGGGCCCGGCCCGGAACCGGAACCGGCCCGGCCCGGGTCCATGACTGAGCAGGAGCAGCATCAATACTATAAATAGTAGTAGCAGTAGTATTAGCAATATTAGTGATAGTAGTAGGAGCAATAGTACGAGCCGTGGGAGAGGTAGGAGCAGTAGTAGTAGCAGTATAAGTCGGATCTATATTCACTATTTTTAATTTAGACACATATTTGTCTTTATTTCTAAAAGTAAATAGTAATAAAAAACCTTTCGATCGTGTTTAAACTTTTACAATGTGATATATTTATTTAGGCTTGTTTCAGTCTCATCCTTGATCAAATTTGACTTACATAATAATAAATCACACATGTACATTAAAGACATTTAATAGACTATGTTAGGTCAAATCAAACTTAAATAGATCTTAACATTTAAAAATCTTAAAATTATTTAAAAATTAGAACAATTCTATTTTGTGCTTTGAAATCCGAGAAATCCCATTTTTCGTTCTTCTTTAATACTCCCTCGTCCGTCCCATTTATATTGTCCCGTTTTATCTTTTCGGGAAGTTCCACTTAAATTGTCTCATACAATATTTGGCAAAGTTTGTGTAGCTCTAAGGGAGTGTTTGCAACTGCTTCTGCTTAAAAAAAGCACTTTTGGAGATGTAAGGAAAAAGTGATTAGTAGGAAAAGTTGATAGTGTTTGAGAAAAAAGTGATTTTGAAAAGTAAAAGTTGATAGTGTTTGATAAAATAAGTGCTTTTTGTGTAATAGAAAGGGGAAAAACACTTTTCACACGCAAGCCGAGAAAAAGTAAAAATTGGTAGTGTTTGGTAAATAAGTGTTTTTTTAAGCCAAAAGCTGAGAAGTGCTTTTTTTAGGTGATTGCAAACACTCCCTAAATCATTCTTACTTTATTCTTACTTTATCAATTAATATCAACCACACAAACTCACTTTTCTTAATAATCATGTCACCCTCTTCCGGAACAATATAAATGGGACGGAGGTAATATGGTACTCCATATGTGTTATGACTAATAAATGCAATTATAAACTTAAGTTACATGTGTTCCAAATGTAAAAAAGTATTGCAATTTTAGGGGGCTTGACAGAGTCTATCAGAAAAAAGATGAAACGCCCAGAAAGGGAGAAATGACGCTTGATGAGTCAATAAAGGCCTGGAGGATAAAGATAAGCTGAGCTATCCAAGCATTTTCGGATTTCACATAAGAGGTTCTAGATCCATCAGAACAACGACAAAATGCTCGAGACAACTTGAATCATACTATTATAAAGACAAGCTAGCCCTATTGTAAAAGCGCACACACTTCATCCGCAAAATACTGAATTTACTCAAGATTATATCATTCATGTTTGTAAGGATCGTTTCCGTCTCCGGCTCAGGTCTTCCAACACACACTCTCACACACCACACTAAGAGGAAGCTATAGCACACCCAAGTATTACTCTCCACTAAGGACCTATCTATTCTCACACAAAGGAGGAAGAAAGGGAGCTCTGCTCTCTGGATACTAAACTCACGCAGGCTGCTTCAACAAGGGAAGAAGCAAGGACTTTAAATAGTAGGCTGCCAGCATAGAAGAGGAGTCACGGGTGAGGTCAAAACAACAAACACTCACATGCTACAAAGACAAGGCAAAGTCACATGTAGGAGCCAAGACAAAAGATGGATGCAGCAGACAGCAATCAAAGGGGCCAGCCAACTGGGAAAGTCAACTCTAATAGGTATATATTTGATCAGGATATATACCAAAGAATAGGTATCCAAGAGAGAGTAAAAATAGAGTGTGCAAGCCTCAACAAATAAAGTGGAAGGGAGGCCTTGGTAGGACCAATACCTCCAACATTCTCCACCTTATTGGTCCTAGGTGGTGTAGAGTAACAAAACAAAGTTGTGACAAGACTCATCATCGCCAGGTCACCCGGAATATCAACAGACACAACGGGCAAACACTTTATTAGGCAACCCACAGTTATCCACAGTCAAAGTTTAACACGCGTTTACAGGACAAGTGCTTCTCAGCAGAAAGACACTTGGTACCCATATCCGCGGGGTTAAACTCAGACGGGATCTTGCACAGCTTGACTCCACCTGCATCAACAATATCACGTATGAAATGGAACCTAACATCAATATGCTTAGTTCTATCATGAAATACATGATTTTTGCAAAGTTGGATAGCCGA